ACTTAGATCTGAAGACCACAGTTAAAATATTGACCAACTTATGCATTCTCATTTAAAATGTGTAAAAAATTAAATCTGAGGTGAGGGGCCTCATCCAAGATCACCAAAGAGTTATGGGTAGCAGCCCTGATAAAACAGTGAAGTTTATGCACATATGTGTATCTATATATAATATAGTTTGTACCCATCTAGTTTCCTTTAATTATCATTTTTGAATTAACATAATATACATCATTTAAAGATTAAATTTACTGAATCTTGGGACACTATTTCAGAAAACATTTTAATCAATGATGTTTTTGTTTATTCTTTCTCTTACCTATTTCAAAAATCCATTAATACATTTGAAGCCAGAAACATAAAGATCCATTACCTTATTAAAAATGAAAAAAAACATATTCCCTACATGATGGGAGAACTATCTGTAATGCAGATGATAAAATGAAAAATGTGGAATAAGTAATAAAAACTAAATCAAACCTATGAGTGATTAATAATACTGTTAATTCAGAAATTGCTTGTTTAAATGTTCAAAATTTAAGAACTTAAAATATGTAAGCAATATTTACCTATTATTTATCAAAATATGCCCTGGACATATTTTACAACCTGAAGCTATTTGCATTTAACATAGAAACAAATAAAGGGATGGCATCTTCTCTGAAGTCCACACGAGGTTTGCCAGTTTTTCTGTTGGTGATTTCCAATAACTGTCAGCTATAGTATTAACACATCCTTCCTCTCTCAAGTAACAATAATTTGGTTTATTTTTGTAAAAAGGTGCCAAATAATTTTAAAATCTTACCATAGGATATTACTAAATGAATGCAGAAGCCCTCTACCATATTGCTTCAGATAATTTTTGACAACTGCTTTATAGTTTGACTTTAATAAAGTTCATATATATCAAAACTATTGAAATAAATACAAGTACATAGTTTATGCAGAAATTTCATACTTTAAATTTCAGGAATTAAAGATAATGTCTTCAATTTATTCAGAAATGGCTCTGAGGTATTTATTTTTAATTTGAAATATTTTATTTAATTAAAGAACATTTAGATATTATTTGCGACTCCAAATTAAAATAAATTAAATATGATTTTATTGGCTGTATATTATACGACTATTATATATATATAATAACATTTAGTTTATGCTGGAGAACAAATTCTTAGAGACCACAAGGGGGCAGACTAAGAATAAATGAAAGAAAATAATTCTCAATCTGTAATCGTTTTTAACTGATGGAAAAATCACATTTGAATTGAATTATCTTTGCAATGAATTTTATCTTATTTTTTCCTACTTTGGAAGGGAATTTCACTGACTCTTTGCATAACATTAGAAAATTTAACTCAAAACCTGAACTGATTAGACTGTACCAATTTTACCTTCTGTTTTCTTCTAAGAGAAGAAAAACTGTTGAATTCATACACTATGGTGGAAGAATAAATTGTCATTGTTTCTAATTTATTATTTTGCATTAGTTAATTTACTTGTTTTGAGCTGAAGTATACTAGATGGAATTGCTTCCACTGTGTAGATTTTTCAGAATGCTTCCCTTTTGATTGATTGATAGGTAGATTATTCCCTGGTCCCTAGAAAATCCAAATCTTTTTTCCTGGTTTCCATACTTCAGGTTCCTCATGAGTCTGGAGTTTCTAAATGCCTGAGCACTTTCCTTTTCACTGGCAGAGTGTGCAGGTCAAAATCCCTCTAATGCTTTGCCCAACACATGCACTTAGGGAAAGTGTCAGGCTAAGCCTAGTATTGTAGGATTGTAGAAATATCCACCACAATTCTCAGGAGCTCCTTCTTAGGGTGTTACCTGTTCTGAACATTATTGAAATACATCAGAATTATGTTGGGAATATGTTGATTAGATTTGAAAGCCAAAAACTAAATTTAGTAATTTTGGCTTAACAACATGCCTCACTATCCATACCATAATAGGGCTTTAGATATTTGGGGTAATCTCAAAAACTTTGAGACATGCCTGACATAAACTATGCAGATAAATGTTTTATACTTAAAGTGATTTTTCTATTATTCAGTTTCTCTCCTCTTCCTAACACCCCTCCTAAAAAAAACAAAAAGCAAAGAGTAGTCTCTAATTTCTTGAAACAACTGATCGCACAGCCTACACAGCTGACCTAAATAAGGTTTATTTCAGGTCTGGCATTCTATAGGCATCTTGGAAACCCACACAATTTACATTTTTTCCTTTCTCTTCTCTCAAAAATATTAATTGATATTATTTTCCTTGGGAAGTAGTGGTAGTTAGATAAATATTGACAAACATATATATTTATATACTCAGTTATGTAATATTACCTATGATTCTTTAATATATTTATTTTCTAATTAAAATATGACATACATTAAGTGCTCTAGAAGTTTAAAATATTATCAGTGAGAAATTTAATCATTGAAAGTATTGAAAATGTGTATGCAAACAAGGAATATTCCTCATTCTAAAATAGAATTTCTTAACCCTCTTGCACATGCTGGTCTTTGTGCCTTATCTCCAGAGATTCAGATTAACTGTTTGGGATATGGCTTCATCATAACAGCAATTAAATGTACTATATGTGACCGTAATATGACATTACTGCCCTGTGATAGGAAAATAGAAAAAAAAGAAAAAATGTTTTGATTAAACCATAATGCTTTAAGGCTCGGGGAAGATAATAGGATAACATGGAAAGTGATTGACTTATGAAACGCACTTTGAGTAACCTTAGATTTTACATATCTTATTTTTTAACATTAATGGAACAGATCATTGCCTACTTTTTGAAATTCTTCACTTCCTCAGAAACATAATTCTAGTTACTGTTGCAGCTTCTCGGGCTGCATGATCATTGCAGGAACATCTAACACTCCATTATATTTCCTTTGGAATTCCTACATTCTGCTCTCCACACTGTGATCAGAATGATCTCGTCATGGACCTACCTCACTAATATAAATCTTATATTGCTACCAGAGCCTTTCAAGGCAGCATTCAGGGTATCTGGATAAGCGATTTAAGCTTCTCGTGACTCTAGTTTGCCAAACTTCTCTGCCAGTCCACTTTTCAGCATGAAGTCAATGGTGTGACTAACCATCTCCAAGGCTTTGGGGACATTGCCTCTCATGCTTCAAACGCTTTCTCACAACTGCCCTTAGGTTGAGATGCTCCTGACCACTCTTCAAAATTCAGGGCAAGTGTTAAACCTCCAGTGAAGCTTTCTGTGGACACATTGGTGCTTTCATTCTCTCTACCTGGACAACAAAATCTTTATCTGTGAATATCTCCTGAAGTAGTTAATGCATTTGTTTATCTGTTCCTACTCACTGGTTTTATTCCAAAAGATACTTTGGAGTCATACTTAGGCCTTTTGAAGGAAGAAAACTTGGTGTGATTGCATCAGCCTTACTAATGATTCTTATTGGCCACTAAATTGGAAGAAACCACAAAACTGATAATTTCTAATTTATGACCATTGGACTAGGAGCACCAGTTACTCAGGAACTCATGGAAAATGTAAATGGTTTGGCTTCCAAACTGGACCTCTCAAGTCAGAAATCTTGGGTTCAAGCCCAGGTGTGAGTGTATAGGAAGCTTCCTATGTGATGCTAATAAAATATCAAAAACTGCCACTCTATTCTACATGCTTGTGCAACACAAATGCTTAACAAAGTATCTTGCTCTAAAACTTCTTAAAAATAGTGAAGATTAGTGCTAATATATGGGTATACCAGCATGCCAAAAATTTCCAAAGAAATCATAAAAAATGGCACATTGAGGTTAACAAAACCTTTTTACGTCAGAAGATATTTTGTGGTGTGGGAGCCTGGCTGAACCAGAGCGACTCCATCTTGACCAGCGAATGACCTAGAGACTGTCGCTCCCCCCGTCCCTTATAGGATAACTAATGATTAATTGTGAATTGTTAGGTGGCTGTTTTGAAGTAGCTAGGAAACTAGGTGGAAATTGTAGTGAACACAGAGACCCAACACAGGTCACGCCACTCCTTGCATGCCTGTAGTCTGAATGTTCTAAACTTTATGATAATCTAGGTTATAAATGGAACAATGTGTGTCACTCCCCCCATCCCTTATAGGATAACGAATGATTAACTGTGAATTGTTAGGTGGCTGCTGTTTTGAAGTAGCTAGGAAACTAGGTGGAAATTGTAGTGAACACAGAGACCCAACACAGGTCACGCCACTCCTTGCATGCCTGTAGTCTGAATGTTCTAAACTTTATGATAATCTAGGTTATAAATGGAACAATGTGATCACTTCTGATCATTAGTACATGACGACCACTAACTCAGATCAACTGACTCTTTGCCTTTGTCCTTTTCCTGAAAGTTTTAAGTGTAAACCCCCCTTTTCAGCCCTATATAAAATGGCCTCTGTTTCTGAGCTGGCCGCCTCTCTGAGCTACTTGGCTTGGGGAGTGCCGTCTGGCCAGACTAATAAAGGTCTATTTGCCAACTTGCCTGGTGTGTTCCTTCCTGGGTGACCCTCGCTGTGTGACAAGCTCCTGGAGCCTCGCTGAGCTTCTGAGCTCAGCATCGTGGAAGCCTCTTGGCTGTTCACGCTCCAGGAGTAAATGTGAGACTTAAGTCTTACAGTGGTAGAAGACAAAAAAATTCTGTTAAGTGTGCTGAAAATACACCCTTTTTACTGGAAGTGGGAGACTCCTGCCCCACTGATTGTGCCTAAAGCAAACTGTAAGCAGTGCAGACTGTAAAGAGTTAACCACACGACCGGCTTATTTTAAGAAGTTAATCTCACCAAGGCATAGGAGATAACACACAGCATAGGTCAGAGTGACTCTTACCCAAATTCTGTTCCCAGCCTAACACAAGAATGCTTTGTCTCTTCTTTTATAAGCCTCGCCCGCGTCAGCATGTATCCCTAGCAACCACATGTATCACCCTCACCTCAACCTAACAACGATTGTTACCAGTAAACATCTGTGGTTCCGGAGTTCAGGGCCTTTGCTTATTTAAGCACTGATCATCCCAGTTCCCCATCTCTGTCTCTTTAATTCTGTCTCTAAATGTTTCTTCTTGCCATGTGGTCTTAGCACTGAACAAGAGATCGGGATCCTTAGCAGGGGTCTCTGATAAGTACCTATAGTTATCAGACAGGTAGGCTGGACTTGTGGGTTGGAGGTTTCAGCATAGAGTCAACCAAGGGCCTCAACAGAGAAGTGAGTGGAGACAGATAAGACTCTATCACCTGAGACCTGAAGTACTCCATTTGGAAGAGATCTGGGAACAGATATAACATAGCAAGTGGAACTTAGAATGAGTGTTCCAGAGATAGGAGGAAACCACGGAGACTTTAGGGGACTGAAGGTAAGGAGAAGTTCTTTAAAGAAGAGAGGGTGTCAGGGTCAAACACTTGTTGTGGGACGAGCAATAAGAGGACAGAAAGTTGGGTCTTGAATTTGGCAATGTAGAGGTATTAGTTATTAAGACAATTTTAGTGGTTAAAAGGAAAGAAAAGTCTGATGGAAGTGGAGATAACACAGAACACAGTGAGAGGAGATCGAGACAAGAACAAACAACACTACCTCAGTATTTTATGAAAGTAGAAAAAAGAATAAGAAACGTAAGAACTCTTCCTAAGAATACTTTATGAAAGTAAGAAACCTGAGAATGAAAATGATAATAAGGAATTTTATTATTATTATTATTATTTTTAATTTTATTGAGTTTATTGGTACATTTTAGGGATACAGTACAGTTACACTCATTGTTGGGATCTTGTACCTCTACATGACAGGTCTTGGTTCTCATTTTTTCCTCTTGTCCCTGACCTCCCTTCACCCCCTCCTCCCCTCCCCATCTACAAACACTTTATTTTCATCTTTTCATTCTCTCACATTTTTTTCTTTTCCCTTTTTGTTCTTCCCCTACGCATCACACCTTCCCTACACCTTTAGCTCCTTTCTTCAAATTTCTAAATGTCAGTAATCTTATTAGAATCTTATGCATTGTTGCAGAATAGGAATTTTATTATTTTTTAAGATGCATAAAATTTAAAGATATACAATGATGGTGATAATCCAGTAGAGAAGTGAATGATGCAGATTGAAAGAAGAGAACTCTTGAAACGATGATACAGGGGATCCAAAATAGGATGGAACCAAATGCACACATCAGAGCAAGCAGTCTTAGGACACAGAAGCACAAATGCTTACAGCATTTATAAGAGCGGGAGGTAAGACTGAGCTGTATGCATTGATACATTTGTACGTATCGGCTAACAAGTTATACAGTTTACTTCAATGTTTTGTTTTGTCTTGTTTTTTGCCTCAGTGCAATGGAAGGAAGATGATCAGCTGAAATAGGGTAGCAGAGGAATGGTGGGAGATTTGAGCACAGTAAAGGCAGAAGACTCACTGAAGTGGAGAAGAATAATATAATTGCTCTGCACCATTAATGGCATACAGGTTTGTGGCCTTGTTTAAAGAAAGGAAATCTCAGCACTTATTTTTCTTCACAGATTTTTTTTAGCTGCCCATGCGCAGAGTATGCCGAAAGATTGATTAATTCTGAGATGAACTTTGACTAATCGTTAGATCGATCAGTGGAGACAAGACAGCTCATTGTATACATGAGAGAAAGTACTCTCTAAGCATAGAACATATTTTGGTAAGGAATGGAAATCATATGAAAGCAGGGAAAGGAAAAGTGAAATGTTGTTATAGTTTGTGAATTACAAATATTCCAAATATTTCTGAAATTGAGGAACCCGCTTGAGTAAGCTCAGGATTTGGTATTGAAATTATGGAGAAGGCATAGTTGTTGGTCATGATACATTTTGGGACAAGTCCCTGACAGCATTATAGTCATAGAATTAAACAAGCGGGTGAGAAGACAGGCTGCCTGATACTGGGAGTCCAGGACGACTAATAGGTTATCTAAATTAGTACTGTAATGATCAAAGGAATAGAGAGAAGTGGACAGGAATGTCAAAGATAAGTTCTTCTGAGACCTGAGCTGGAGATTCTTAGGCTCAGCACAGTGAAAAAAAACCAACCAACCAAACAAACAAACGAACAAATGAAGAGAGATGTAATTCATGTTTATAAGATTTTTCTTTCTTTCTTTTTTTGCTACTGGGAATTGGACTCAGGGTCTTGCTTTCGCCAGGCAGGTGCTGTACTGCTGAACTGCATTCCAGGCTGTGTAAGCCTTTTTTATAAAGTGCCAGACTGGAAATACTGCCATCCTCCCGCTTCCGTTCCTCTTTCCTCCGCTCAACCCCTTTTTCTCAACTATTCATAACGGAGAGCCAAGTTCAGCTTAAAATTATAAAAGAAGACACTGAGTAGAGATCTGGCCTGCGGGGTGAAATCTGTTATTTGAGTAAGACAGGGACTAAAAGGATGGCGCTGCTAGAAGCAAAGAACAAAGTAAACTCCACTTTACCTTTAGGAGCTGGGGTAAAAGGAAATATAGAGGATGGAAAATCCTCAAGTTAAAACTAGTTTTCAATTGCCAGTCATGGTGGTGCACGCCTGTAATCCCAGCACTCGGGAGGCTGAGGCAGGAGGATTGCTGTGAATTTGAGACCAGCCTGGGCTACATAGTGAGTTCCAGGTCCGTCTGAATCACATAGTGAGACCCTGTTACAAAAATGAACAAATAAACAAACAATCTAGTTTTCATTTCATTGAAGTTGAAGAGAAGGAAAAAACAAAAATTTAGGCACTCTCCCAACTTTTTACATGTATAATGCTAAAATGAACGAGTTTTCTTATATAGCTATGCTTTAATCAGTTTTGAGAAAATATTGAAGGTAGAATTCCTACATGATTGGAATTTAGGGGAATTTTCCTTTGGAAATAATCACCTTGTTTGGAAATTTCGTGTCTGTGCCCTTATCAAGACATAGTTCAAACTATTGACATACTACTTCCATGAATTTTAATAAATTGATTATCTGCCATGCTTTTACTGACTATTTCATAGTGATTGAGTTAAATTGTGAAAAATATTTGTTTGATCTGAAAACATAATAGATGACAGTTGAGTATTCACCTATCTGTCAAACAAAATGTTTGCTTTTAGGTATCCATTTTCCACAATTGAGAATGGATAAGATGCAAAGACATCAGGTAATGAATTAATTTATTTCAAAGAAGTAAACACATTTGGTACTTGTATATGTTACAGAAACAATTTTGGGGAATGTACATTCAACCTAGATGTACATTCACATAATTATTCTTAACCCGAAACTTATTTACTCAGAAAATAATTATTCCAGAATTAATATTTAACAAGTTATTGCTGTAGATATATAGGCCAAGTATGTTAGCTGCCTCTTAATGTTTTATTTATTAAGGAAAGAAATTGCAATGCTCTCACTGGCAAAATTTCTTATGACAGTGTTCTAGAAAATTCAATACAAGGAGTCTACTGGTCAAAACTGAGATAGTACTATTTTCCTCATAAAATGGAATAAACTCAAATGTAGTTATTTTTTTGCACACATGTCTGCTAGCATCAAATATTTGACTGGCACTCAAAATTACAATTGTGAATATAAATACACAAAAACTCAGAATAGTGAATTAAAAAAGAGATAAGCTATCTTTGCTACACTGATGGAATTCTTGTACCACTTGAAAGTGTCTTTTCATGTGTTCACTCATGATGATGATGCTTTATATAGCTCATGGTTAAAATAAATATTTTTGCCTAAACTGAAGCTCAGTTCATTTCATCTTACCTTTCTCCATGCCACGTCAGGATGGACTTTTCACAAGTTAAATTTCTCTATGATATTTTATTGGTGGTTATCTATGTACTTACACAGAGTAGTCTTTGGCTGTCACTAAGTAATTGTCCATCTCGAAGACCTTTGGCCTCTTTACTGAACTTCTATTTCTCTATCTTCCCCCAAATCCACAGAGACTAACTCCTTAAAGTACCACAATGATTATCAATATTGATAGTATAACACTTCTTATCTGGATTCTAGAAATGTTTCAAAGTAGATAAATTTACAGTGAAAAAAATGACATTGTACTGGGGAAACCACTTTTGAAAAAATTGGTGCTCAAATATATAGGGGAGCTTCAATCCCCAAATGCACATGGATGCAAATTTCGACATTACTCAGACAAGCAATACTTTCTCTTATTTTTTCTCCTGCCATTGCAAATAATAGCCAACACAGATAACAAAGACTATACAACAATATATAATATAAAAAGTAAGATTAACAATGCAAGAGGAAAATTTTCAGAAACAGCACATTCCCAATGTGAAGTGTTGAATGAAAACCCTAAGTATAAGAACCAAAACAACAAACTTGTTAGCAGTAATAATTATTATGCTGTATGTGGACCTTCAGTTGACCATTCCAAAACAGTCAACTTCCTAATGCCAATTTTCTGATGCTTTGAGATTGACTATATTTTAAAAATATATACATACCTTTACTACAGATTTTCTTTTAGCCAATTAATGTATTGATTAATCAGTCTATAACCAATTTTAAATTCCAGAAGGGCAAATGCTCCATGCAATCCATCCTCAACATGGTAACAAGCCGCTGGAACTCCAGCATTCTGAAGCCTGGTAACATACATGAGTCCATTGACTCTTAAGACATCACCTTGACAAGTGAGGACAAAGATCTGAGGTAAACCACGCAACTTGCTGTCGTCTGCCAACAGAGGAGCTGTCCTTACATCTAGGACCCCAGGATATTTTTGAGATAAGGCAGAACTACCATAAATTGAGTTGTTATAAATATACCCTTTCTCAGTCTTTCAGGGAGCAATGAACTCCAGTTGACAAACTTGAATAGATTACTGGATTCAGCAGGTACATGCTGGTTGGAAAGCATGGCTCTCTCAAGTGATCTGTCTGTTGTAATATATTCACTCATGAGCCGGACCAGCAGTGATTTGGACAGAGTTGGCATATGTGAATATTTTCTGTACGATGGAGAATCTAAATCAAAAGCCTGAGGTGTAGGATACATTAAAGACTGCATCTTGACTTTGATCTTCACATCTGAGTCTTGTAATTGCTAAGAAAGAATTGAGATGATTCATATAAATTATTTTCATCTGTAAGTGATTAAATAAATGTGATGATCTAGTTTATGTTTAAATTTATAATCTAAAAATCCTTAAATACTAAATCATATGTACCATCTCCACAAATTTAAAATATTCAAAAGGGGCTCCTAGAACTAAATATTTCTTAAAGTATACTTTTAACTTAGAGAAAATCACCTGTCCTACATTCTTGTAGAAAATGCAAAAAGGTCTAGTCAATCATTGCTAAGTCAGTGTCCTGTTGTTGCTTCCAAGAATGACATCCTGAAGACTCTTGTAGCTTGACCTCATTAGATTTTGGTGATTATAAAAGTGTTTAAAAATATACTAGTATATCAATAGCTTTTGTGATGGAGAAGAAGGTTTACTTAATAAGGATTTCTAGCTTTTCCAAAGCTATATGCTACTTTAGAAGATATGGATTGGTTTTCTGAGGGAAGCATTCCATTAACAATGTTCTTTGATTTCAAGCCTAATGTGCCAATATCTGTAAAGATCAGTTGCTAGAAAACAGGAATGTACAACTATCAGAGTAAAACAAGAAGTGTTCCACTAGAAGATTTTTAAAAATATATTTTACCTTTACAAAATATTTACTTTTAAATGTATGTTTATAATATTAAAATGTATATTACAGTAAAAATATATATGCAACTTGTAAATCGAAGTAGATCATGAATATCTCTAGATACTTAAAAGATTATAGTATTTATCTACATTTTAATGGCTGTGTTTATAATAGACCGTTTTAGATATTTTAGAGACTCTTTTTAAAGATCACTAAAGTTCCAAGGTATTTTTAAACTACCTTTAGGCTTGTGACCCCCAGAACAAGACGGTAAGGTTCAAAACATTCATTTTCCTTATAGAGGAGGAAATAGATGCTTAAAGAGATTAAATGAACTGGTGAGATGACATCTTGAAATGACTGCATCGCAAAATTCAAATCCCTGATGTTTAATAGAGTGATTTTTCAACTTCATTATAAAGCTCACAATAGTGATTAGAAAGCTTTTCCAAATTTCAGTATTTGTTGTACATTTTGGTTACAGCAAAGTCCAAATGTGACGTCCTTTTATTTTGAAATATTATCAAGTATAGTCTATAAGCCAACTTATTTTTATTTAAAACAAGTATAAATGAACATAACTAAAAAAATTAGAAATTACATTTCATCAAATCCAGATTATAATCAACAAAAAAGTTCAAACCTCTTCATTTGTAAGCAGTAAGAAACTTCCCCTTAATTACTACGTGAGAAAATAGTTGCTATTTTAACAATCTCCATCAGAATACGTTTGTCAAGAAGTTGAATCCATTCTATGTATGATCTGTTATGCAAAACACTATTTATCATTAATGCTTTACTATCATTTTAATAACCTGAAGTATCTGGTTTTATATACATATACAAATAAATACTTTGAATCCTTTGTATTTCCTCTTTGTAAGTAAAAAGATAATATTTGAATGTGCTGATGATTCCCTAAAAGCAGTCTGATTATTCTTGTAATAGAAGAATATTCCATTTGAGGTTATTCAATACATTTGAAGTTCTAAAGGGTTAAATAGTAATTTTCTGATCTCATTCTATCTCATTTATTCATTATAACATTTTACTGACAGTGTAATAGTCTTACCCAGTGACTTAACAAGAGAATTGTGGTTACATTAAGAAAAACAGTCTGTGATGAGACCAAAAATTGACATTGTGTTATACTAAGAATTTTCAAAATATTATCTTTAATATATGTAAATTCTACCATTATATTTACATATGTGTATTTGGATCTGTTTATAGGTAGAATAGCAAAGATCCCCATAGAAATGATAAGTATCCTACCTGCTGAGTCACTGCTGCAGCTAAATTTCCACCTGCACTATCTCCAGAAATACAGATTCTTTCAGGGTTTATGCCATAGCTTTCAAGAATATTTTTGCTTAAGAACCACCTTAAGGTATTAAATACATCTTCAAATTGTATTGGGAAATGATATTTAGGTGTTAATTTGTAGCTTTGGAGAAAAAAACATGGTTTTCATGCTACATTTAATAAATCGTTGAAAATGTAATATACATTCCAGAAATGAACATATTCTAAATGCACAAATTCTTGAATTAAAACTGTACATACAGTGTAACCTAGATCATGAAGCTCAATACTACCACACCGAGCAATCTTCTGTTTATTGGCTGCATGTCATGTAGCTGATATAGCAGCAGCAATTAATCTTGCTTGCTTTTGCCTTTAACATACATGAACCCAAATACAACATGTAGCCATTCTAGATATTATTGTTTGATATAGTTTTTGAGCCTCATAGACATTGCTGTGTGCTTGTGGTGCCCTGTGTCTTACTCCTTTATGTGAGTACACCACAACTCAATAATCTAATAATCTTGACTGGATAGCCACAGAAGGTCAACTATTACATGACTCCTCTTATATGTGGACTTAAAGATAGACTTAAAGTGTAACATGCAGGTGGCCAGAGGTTCTGAAAAGGGATAAAGGGGGAATTAATAATGAAAAGATTCAGTCAATAAAATACATAAACAGTAGAGATGTCACATAGCATTATGTCTATAAACAATAATGATGTACTGTGCATTTAAAAATTTGTTGAGAATGAATATTATGTTAAATATTTTTCAAGTTAAAAATGCTATTGGAAAAAAATGCTATTGGGATTTGGGTTGTTTGTAGTCTTGGGCTTTCAAAAAAATGCTTCTCTGGATATTTTAGTAGGTGGTATTCAGAGAACATGTATTTCTTTTGATATATACCTGTGGTATTAATGATTACAAAATTAAAATTATGTATAGTTTTATTTAATATTGTCAAAAAAACTTTGAAAAATAGTACACCAAATTATTCTCAAACAACCAGTGTATGTTCTGTTTTTGTTTTTTAGGTACTGGGGATTGAACTCGGACTGTTGCACTTACGAGGCAGGCCATGGAACCTCTGAACCAAATCCCTGGCCTTCAGCCAATCAGTTCATGAAATGGTCTGTTATTTTCAATATTTGGTGTTTTATGCTTTTTCATTTTAGCTATGATATCAAGTATAGCAGAATTGAAAAATAAGATTGATTTATATTTCCTTCTTTTATATTAGCTTTTATATATTTGAGAATTTGAATATTCTGTTCTATTTCTTTGCAAGCCTTTCTCATAGATTTCAATTAATTTGCAGTTGTGTGTATATTTTTCATAAGAAAAAATACATGCCTTTTAGCATCCCTATATCTATGCATATATATTAAATAACATAAGTTTTTAATTTTAAAAGCAGCCATTTTATTAAAATATAAATTATATTTCATACAATTTATTTATTTAGCATATGCAGTTTATAGCGTGATTTTTCAGGATAAGATTTTTCAAAGAGTTGTGCACCAATCACCACAATTAATTTCATAACATTTTCATCACAAACAAGGAAAAGAAAAAAAGTAATATCAAACCTATGTATATTGACATCTATGTTCTATTTTTCTCTCCTTCCATCTCCAACCACAAATATTTCTGCTTTTTAGATTTACCTACACTGGGTATTCCAAAATTGAAATAATGCATTTGATATCCTTTTATGACTTAACTTATTTTACTTACAGTATTTTCAAACTTTATGTATGTTTTGGCATTCCTTGTTAATGACAAATAACATTCAACTATATGGATATATTTATCAATATATCAGTTAATTGCCACCCAGATTCCAACTGTAAATTTGCACAGATCCCAGAGAGAAAGAAGCACATGCGGACCAGAGCTTCATTGGTGAGGGCAGGTCACAGCCAAGGCTGTGCACTGTAAAGAGCTGCACATGCACACAAACAAAAGCCAGAGGCCCACCCAGAGTCTAACCATAAGGGGGCACAGGTCTCAACAAGAAGCCCATGTGGACAAAAGCTGTGTGGAGTAGGCAGCTTCCAGCCAGGGGCCCACCCAGATCCCATCAACTTGGGCCCACAGGACCTATCCAAAGGCGTACATGGTAAAGGACTGTACAAGTGCACAAGCAACAGCCAGTAGCCCACCAAGACACCATTCCAAGTGTACACAGGCTCCATCCAGATCCCAGCCTGGACAACAGCAGTGTAGAGATCCAGAATGCCACCATTCTGAAGCCAGGAATTGGCACCATAGTGAGCAGCAGAGGAAAGGCCTCTTGATGGCTAGCTGAGACCAGCAAATGAGCAAAAAGTTGCCTCAACAAAGGCCCAGAAGGCTGTATCTGTTGAAATAAGAAGACATGTAAACAAGTCTCAGAATCAGACTTCCAGGTCACCTAAGGCAGCCCCAAAGGGCAATGAGATGGAACAATCTGACACTCAACCACCTGGGCTCTCTGAACTAGAAACAAAAGACTTCAAAAAAATGAAATCAGGGCTTATGAGCAAAAAGTTGCCTCAACAAAGGCCCAGAAGGCTGTATCTGTTGAAATAAGAAGACATGTAAACAAGTCTCAGAATCAGACTTCCAGGTCACCTAAGGCAGCCCCAAAGGGCAATGAGATGGAACAATCTGACACTCAACCACCTGGGCTCTCTGAACTAGAAACAAAAGACTTCAAAAAAAAAAAATCAGGGCTGGGGTTTAGCTCAGCGGTTCAGTGGCCTGCCTCACAAGTGCAAGGACCCGAGTTCGATCCCCGGTACCAAAAAAAAAAATTAAAAAAAAAAATGAAATCAGAAATAATTTCTCAGATAACAAAAAAAAATGGTATCCATAATAGTGAAAGACATGATCAATAAGCCTAGAGAAGAGACAGATTAAAAAAAATAGGAGAGCTGAGGAAAATGATGGACTGCCAACACAGGAAACAAATGGAATCCATAAAACAGATGCAAACAGATTTCCAGGACACTAAAAACTCCACTGAAATTTTATGCAGCAGAATGAGCCAATGTGAGGACAAAATATCAGATACAGAAGATAGGATTGCAATTAGTGACCAGGAAAAGAAAAAATTTCTTAAAATCAGTAAGGGACAATGGGAAATCAATCCAGCAGCTGCTAGATGATGCAAAGAAGAATAGCATAAGACTGATGAGAGTCAAGGAAGAAACAGAAGAGAGTGCAAACGACATGGAAAAAATCTGTTCACAGAAGTAATGGCAGAAATTTTATTTTATTCATATCTTATTTCCTGATAAGTGCATGTTGTACAACACAGTGTGAAGCTCCTGATAAAAGAGGAAGAAAAGGATGTAATAAGAATGGTCTGCCACATAGGAAAGAAAAGCTAAGTGCATATGTTCTCAGCATAAATGAGACATGTGCATGGAACATACAGTTATGTGTGAAGACTTCTTTGGATGTGATAATTGAAGTGAAGATTATTTTTGTTGTAGATTTCTATTGGTATTTTCATTGTAGTTTACAGAGATTTTTATTTCTGATGTTATATTTTAGATTTTGTAAGCAAGTACACAGCTGATGTGAAAATGTTGATGTCTATTCTAAGCACTCACATTTCTGATAATTTACTTTATTGGTATCTTATTTTCTTATTATTTAGGTGTTATAATTGAAGTAAAGATTATTTTTATAGAGTGCTAGTGCTAATTTCATTGTAGTTCTTATAAGATTTGTTTCTATTCTATTATTTTAGACTTTGCACACCAAAAGTCTTGATGCTCTTTATAAACAATAAATATTAAAAATGCAATACTTTATTTTTGTGATATTTTTTCATGTTACACACTCATTGTTTAATATAATAAAACACATACAATTAAAATTAATAATCCATCAGTAGGAATAGTGTAATGAATAAATGTGGTTTTGATTCACCTAAGTTTCTGTGACTTTATGCCATAAAACCATGTTAAGCTTCTTAATGTTTACCTGCTAGGTTTCTGTATTGCTTTGGGCCTTTTATTTTCCATCTGCTATGTCTCCCTTTTTGGAATGGAAAGTTTTATCCTGTATCATTTTCATCAGCAGTTATTAACTTCTTTTTTGTTTTTATAGGGCCACTCCAAGACTTCCATGAGTTTATTTTTCCACTGTGCTTTTCTGCTATTCCACTTTCAAAAGCAGATATCAGAGGGAGAAGTGAATGGTGTGGCTGACTGTCCAGGCACCTGGAGTAGTTCTTGTCCTCTTTCAAAAACTCCCACAACTGCCTCTTTCATCAGACACTCCTGAGTGCTCTTTATAATGCAGGCAAAGTGCTAACGTGCCTGTGAAGTTTTCCTTTGGGACAGTGTTTTCTACTGAAACATTTTCTGCTAGATGGTTTTATTCAAAAAAGTTCTTTGTTTGACATCACCTGCACAGCTTCTGTAGGAAGGAAATTTTTGATGATGAGATCATCCATTCAATTGATTCATATTATGTACCAAATTTTTAAAAATTCACCTGTAGTCATTGTACTAGGTACGGTTGTCCCTCGGGAACTTGTGGAAAATCCAAGTGCTTGTGTCCCAAACCAGACTACTAGAGCCAGAAACCTTGGTTTGAAGCCAAGTGTTAAGTAAATGACAAGAGATCTAGGTGATGTTAATGAAAGGTTGATCACTGCCTTTCTCTGTTTGGTGAGCTTTAAAAGAAATACTTTTAAAAAGTCTCTTCAAGACCTTCAAAAAGCTAAAATTGGGATTTAACTGTAATATATGGGCATACATACATGTCAAAAATATGACAAAACAATGAGAGAAAATTACAATTTTTTGACAAAATTCTGTTTTGTCTCAACAATATTTTCAAAGACTTAAGAAAGTTGTTTAAGATCTAAAATTGCTTTCTTTTCATGGGAAATGCATAGCATTTAGACAGGGTAACTCAATTATCTTTCAGAATTTTCATATATAAGATAAATTTTGTCTGCCTGTTTTAAATATTGGGATGCTTAGAAGTACAGAGGGAATGAAACACTGCCCACCTAAAATCTTCTGCATAAAGATGCATTATTAACAGTATTTACTTTCTTGCTCTTTTACTATAGATAACAGAACTAAGGAACACTGTTTCCCACAGTGGAGAATATATCACCCAAGTGATCTGTGATCTGACATCCAGGATTCCTATTGCAACATTTATGCCAACTTCTGATGTTCTATAAACAACTCAGCTAGTACTCCAAACTTTCTTGTTTAATAATAGCCAATTTGTCAATGAAATCCCATTGGAATTTCTAAGTTAGTCATATCTTTTCCAATAGTTTTTAAATTATAGTTGAATTACTTGCTTGGTTTTCTCACTTACTCATAGGATGACTGATAAGAAAATATAAATCTGGAAAGAGATCAGACATTCTGTGCTTCTAGTTACAGATTAATCTGAAGCATAGATGGAATGCTATATGAGTCATACTCTTGTAAAGAGATACTAACAGTATTCTATATGCCAGTAACAGTAATCTGTGTGAATGATACAACAAGAACACAGAGTTGATCAATCCCATGGTGCAATGAAAAGAAATGATTCGACTTAATCTTTTTTTTTTAAACTTAATCTCTTGAAGAAGAGAAATCGAGTGAGGCATACCAGGAAGACTGGGGGCATAAAGTGGATGAAATGGAATTTTAAACAGAGCATTGAGGAAACTTCTGCATGTGAAGTTCAGATAATGATCTGAGGGAAAAGTATTACAGGCAAAGGAACGGAAAGTGCAAAGTCCCTGAGTCTGGAGTTTGAGGAACGACAAAGAGGCACAGTTGGCTACAGCATGAAAAATGTGCACAATAGGAAGTGCAATTAGAAACAAATATCGCCCTAGCTAATATGTAGAACATAAGAACATAATAACTGATTGTGCACACTTCAGTTTGCAGTCACTTTAAGGAATTTTTGATACCTTCTCCCTTAAATAAGCCTTTTGAGAATTTTGAGCAGAGAATTGATTTGTTTTAAATTTCATTTTTCAGCAGTTATCCTCTCTTATGTATTAGTACCAACCTCCTTGGGGCCTTGGGGACATGGTAAAGATAGACCCCAAATTAGAATATGTAGAGTCATTCTGAAAATTGATGGCGTATGATACCATAGTACCAGCAGTGCAGATGGTAAGAAATAGTTAAATTTTCCTAATAAACTGAAGATATAATTAAAAAGATTTGCAAATGTATTTGAATATTAAAGAAGGACCATAACCAAGTTTTGACTTTAAGGTTCTTTTGGCATTATCCAGAAGAGGAATTTTGGATTTTCCACTTACCGAGAGGAGAAAGTCCATGAATGCCGGTTACTTCATAGAGAAATCGTAAACTTAAGTTTCAAATACCGAAATGTGCGCAAGAAACTTCTTCCTATATTTCAGTGAGCACTGCGGAGGTCCAAGCTGGAGTTATGGTAACTGGAAGCTTCAGCACAGAGGAATTTACCATTATCAAAAGAGACATGCGGTCAGGCAAAGAAGAGATCTGAGTCCTGAGCCCAGAAGAACTGCATGTAGAAGAAGAGATTTGTGAACAGAAACAACACAGCAAATTCACCTGAGAATGAATGGCCCAAGATATGGAAGGGCGTCAAGAAGACTTTTGGAACCTGGAGCTAAGTTAAGGTCTTTCAAGGAAGAGGGAGTGACTGGGTCAAAACTTCCTCTTCGGACAAGCATGAGTAGGACAGACAAGTAATAGATTTGGTGGTTGATGGAGAATGAGTGATGAGAGTGAGCACAAGAGAACGGAACGAGAAGAGATGTAATCATCAAGAGTTTGCGACAACTGTTCCAAGAACAATTCTGTAAAATAAACAGAAATGGTAAGAAAGCGTAACAGAGAAATGCTTCTGAGAAATTTTGTTATTTCTTAAGATATATAAAAAAGAAATGTGTTTGTTAATGATGATAATATAATATTAAGAGGAAAGGGGAGAGCGAGAGAGAAGAGACAGGGAAGAGGAAATTAATGCAGGATTAAAAGGATTGATAGGGGCAACACATGCTTACAATTTCTAGTAGTTTTCTTCAGTTGTTTTGCTTTTTCAATGAAATTAGAAGAAAGGTGGGTAAGTGCCACAGAATACTGAGATAGAGTTTATTACGTGTTTGTTATCTATTTGCTGGTGCAAAATATCTGACACATAAATTAAATGAGGAGAGCTTTCATTGCACCCCTGGTTTCAGAGGTTTCAGGACAGTTGTGTGACTCTAACTCAGGCACATCACCTGGGGAGTGCACAGTGGAAAAAAGGTTCACTCATGGTGACTGGGGTGCCGAGCACAGAGACATACCCCTAGGGGGAGGTCCACAGTCCAAAAGCATGCTTCTGTGACCCACTACCCGCTTTCTTTGTGCTCCGGTTCTTAACAGCACACTCACATATGAACATCAGTGAATGAATCTGCTAACACTCCCATGAACTGATCACTGCTAAGCAATTCCTTAATCCAGTCCAGTTTTCAAGTGGTATAACCAGCAGAAAATAGAAGAGTCACTTCCCCAGAGAACCATAGGATTGCTAGGCATTATAAATGTCACAGTTGAGTTTTGCAGTATTATTTAAAAGAAGGAAGTTTTAGACGTTTTTGGTTTTCTTCAGCCACGTTTAGTTGCAAAGATGCATTTGCCTGGTATGCAGAAGCACAGATTTATCCATCAGTGAAATTTTATTAAACTAGTAGATAAGTAGAGATACAAGTAACCTGTTGTTATTCTGCTTACTGATCATAGAACATATACTGGTGAAGAGCCAAAGACATTTTTATATGACAGCAGTTACGAAGAGAAATGGTGGTGTACTTTATGAATTATAAAGATTTTTGGTATTACTGAAACTGGGGAGCCACTTTGAAATAACTTGGGCATTTGGTATTGGAAGTATAGAGGTGACACATTTATTGACCTTGGCACAGTGCAGAGCATGGCAATGAGAACATTTCATTCAAGAAAAGAACAGTTATTAAAAGACAGCCAGGGCTGAAGATTTAGCTCAGTGGTTCCCCCACCTGCCTTGCAGAGCAAGGACTGGAGTTTGATCCCTGGACAGAAAACAAAACAAAACAAAACTGACAGCCTGCCCAGTAAGTGGAAGTTGAAGTTGGTAAATGGGTTACCTGAATAAATCCTGGGGTTATCAAAGTAATGTTGAGATGTTGGAAGGCAACTCAAAAATAACATCTTTAGGGACCTTAGGCAGAGTAGCTCTGGCTAAGCAGGTGACTGCAAAAACACATAGTTTGCAGGATTGCAGACTGTTTCATGAGTATTAGTGGTAAATACACCTCCATCCCTTTCAGTCCTCTTTTCCTACAAGTCCTCTTCAACATTTCTTCCTCCTTTGACTACTCTTCACACTTTTAAACAGTTTTTTGTTCAGACTAGAAAAATAGGCTGCAGTCTGGATTTCACCTGTATGCTTCCCTTTTCTATATCTGAACAACACATTAGAAAAATGGAATCCTCTGCAAAAGCAGCCCAAGGTAAAGCCCACTTCATCACAAGATCTTGGGTTATAAGCAAAACTGGAGGAGGAAGTGACCTTAAATATGTACTACTTTTCAGTCATCTCAAGTTAAAGAGAAAGAAAATCCAAAAAGTGAATCATCTATCAACTCTGGATGCCAATAGAGCTAAAAGGACTTTTAAGTGTCCCATTTTTATTTTTAGAGGTATGTTTCAATTTGTTTTGAGAAATATCTGAAAATGGGATTTTTCCATGACTGGAATATAGGGGGTTTCTGCTCCAAAGTAAATACTTTGCCCTATTTGGAAATTTCATAACTGCCAGTCAAGTTCATAAAATATTAAGCTAATCTTGAATGTTTTATTATTTATTAAAACATTGTTAAATTAATCTTAAAATCTTATAAATCGTTCACACTTTTGAAATGTTAGATATATCAACATCAATAAAATGGTTGTGGGGGGAGTTGCAGGAGATTTATTACAGTGGTGCTATACCAGATAATTTTTATTTCTTATTTCCCGACAGAGTCTCACAGAGGTTTCCAATCTGAGCTTGAACTTGCTATCTTCCTTGCCACCCAAGTAGCAATGAATCCTGGTACGAGAACACAGATACAACTTTTAAAGCTGCCCATTATATTTACTATTAACTCTCAACTGGTTTATTCATTAAGGAAATATTTATCCCACATTAGTTATTTGACAAGTTTTTTTATATAGACATGTGTTTTGTTCTGCTACCTGCTTATTTTTGTCATATTTCTTAGTATAAGATCATTATTTTTCCAATTATGAAATTTCCATTTTGAACAATGACATGATATGATCCTAGGTATAGCAGTGTAACGTTTATTGTTTGGAGCATCTAGGATTGTTAATATTTTTGATGAAATGGAATCCCTTTGTAGGTAGCTCTTTTTCTTATCACATCTCTACCTTAATTATTCTCAGGTTGTAATAAAAATAGGATAGTTATGAGCATAAACACAGCAGATGCTAAGAATAGTGAAGATCAAAGAGAACTGATGACGTGGTGACCTATGATCATATGGATAGAGCCACTCCACCGCATGATGTTGTCTGTTAATGTTTCCTCATGATTTTGATGCATGACACAGTTCGTGGACAATATAAATATTTGGTCTGATCTCAAAGCAAGTCCATTTATCTTGCCTTCTCTGCAGGGTCTAGATGGGCTTTACACAGACTAAATTTCTCTGAGTTTTCAATGACAGTTCAACTACTTTGATTTCTGAAGTCTGTGGCTATTATTAAGTCATTTTCCATCCTCCTGAAATCTTTAATGGACGTTAGATTTGCTCTTTGTCCTCAACACAGAGCTTCTAATTCCTCAAAGTGACACGGTGATCCAGCATATTGAATAGAGTAACATTTGTTACCTGGATGCTAGTGGTAGTTCAATGAACAAGAATTTACTGATGTAATAAATTGACATTGCATTGAGGAAAACAATTTTGGAAAGAATTGGCAATCAAGTCATATTAGTATTAAAGAGTATTTGAAACCATAAATGTCTCTTGATAAAAATATTAACATTACTTAGATAGGCAATGTTTTCTTACATTTTTCTTCTTGCAATTGTTAATAGTAGGCAGAACATGAAAGACTGCTCAAAAGCAAGATACAAAAGTAAGATTCACAATATATGAAGGGAGTTGTCAGAAATAGCACATTTACAATGTGAATATTGGATAAATTCAAGAAGTGTAAGAAAGAAAAAAAGGAATTTGAAATTCTTACACTTTATGTGGACAATTGACCTTTATACAAGAAACCAAATCCTACCATGTAAATTTTTTGAGGATTTGAGATTTGGAATAATTTTAAATTATACATTGATATATGTTGTATTATAAATTTTCTCTTAGCCAGTTAACTTTTTGTTTCAAAAGTCTGTGGGCTAAATGTTCTGAAAGTACAGGAGCTCCATGATAATCGCCCTCCGCATGGTTATGGGTAACTTGAACCCCAGCGTTTGGAGATCCAGTCATATACATGAGTCCATTGTCTCCTTCGATATCTTGGTGACAAGTGAGGACATATTTCTGGGGTTAATCATGCAACTTGCTGGCATCTGCCAACAGAGGAGCCTCTCTCACATCTAGGAACCTGGGGTATTTTTAAGAAAACTCAGAACTACCACAAGTTCGATTGCTATAAATATGTCCTTTTCTAAACCTCTCAGCAAGCAAGGAGCTCCAGTTAGCAAATCTGAACAGATGACTGGATTCTGCAGGAACGTGCTGGTTGGAAAGCATGGCACTCTCAAGATATCTATCTGTTGTAAAATATTCACCTATGAATCTGACCACATAATTGGTGTATGTGAATTTTCTCTATATGACGGTGATTCAAAATCAAGAAAGTGAAGAACAGGATAAAGTAAAGCCTGGATCTTGAGTTTGATCTTGACTTCTGGGTTACATAAGACCTAAGAAGAAAATGAAAATATTTGCACAAATTATTTGAAAATATAAAATAGTTGTAATTTTATTCTAAAAATATATTAATAATACCAAAAAAGAAAAATACTAACCAAAATATACCATCCCTCACAACAAACTTTGAAATATTTCAAAGGAATTTCTAGAATTAAATATTCCTTAACTGAAGCATCCCTTTAATTTAGGAAAAATCATCTGTCCTATGCTCTTCGGGGATAATCAGAAATATCTAAACACTAATTAGTAAATTACTGTCACATGCTTTCAACCAAGAATATGAATGGCTGTGTAAATTTAACACAAGTATTTTCTATTAGTATGAAACTGAACTAGACTACAATTTTTTTTCAGGAACATGTATCACTTAAGTATTTCTGCCTTTTTTCCCGAAAATAACCTGCTGCTTTTAGGTGATTTGAGAAAGCATTCCTTGTGAGGTGTTCAATTAAATCTTTCCTCAATATCAGGATATTTTTAGTTTTCATTTGTTCACATTTGGAGTATACAATGATTATATTCATTCTAGGGAGTTGGTACATGTGCATAAAATATTTTAGTTCTTTTCCTCCCTTCCACCTTCTTTTTAATTTGACGGTATGAGATTCATTTATTTATCTCATAAGTCCTTATAAAATTGATTATGGTGTATTCAGATTAACAACCACCTACGAGGTGAAAGATAATGTAAGACTATATAAGACAACTGTACTAAATCAAGTCACACTTTTAGGTATACTGGCCATGCTTGTTTAGAATAGGTATTTTTTGCTGTCTTTATCAGGATTAATATGCTAATATTTGTAAAGACCAGTGATCTGAAAAAAAAAAGCAAGCCCAAATAAGTATATAAAAAAGTGATCTGAGCCAGGGATTTAGCTCAATGGTGTTACAGCCTGCTTCACAAGTGCAAGGTCCTGAGTTCGATCCCAGACACCAAAAAAACCCCAAAAAAGTGGTATGTTAATTTTTAAGAACATCTTCTTTAAAATACACTTTAACTGGCTTCCAACATGCATATTTTGCCATAAAAAATGTAAACTGTATATAATTTCTCTATAAGTACATGCTTTGGTTGTACCCAAGTAATTCACAATTTATGATGTTTATCTGCATTTGAACTATGATTTTAGAGAAATAGAATTCATTTCATGCTTTCAGATTTGTTTATATGGACCTTAAAACAATGGTGTGAAGTTGATACATTTATTTTTCCTCATCCAAATGGATGGGTCAGAGAAACTAGATGACTTATTAAAATGTCAAATAGAAATTACTATACCTCAGATAGCAGAACTAAAATATTTTATTCTAAAATTGTGAACACATATAATAAAGCAAATGTTTTACTTTTTATTAATTTTATTGGTAAATTTTGATATGTATTGGTACTTTTTGATATATTGATACAATATAATGGCATTCATTATTGGAAATTTGTGCCTTTATGGAATCTATCTTGGTTCTTATTTTCAAAATCAATTAATGCCAGGGATTTAGCTCAGTGGTTCCACCGCCCGGCTCACAAGCATAGGTCCCGAGTTTGATCCCCGATACCAAAATAAATAGATAAATAAATAAAATCAAAACTTAATAGTAACCGGCTTCCCAATCTCATTCCACTACATAGAAAAATTATATTTTAAAATATTTATTTCTTTATATTAGTACACATTTGTCATATACGATATGCTGATTTTTAAAGGTAACAGTAGTTTGATTTAAAGGACTGGGGTCTTAGATCAGTGGTGCCACACCTGCTCTGCAAACACAAGGTCCTGAGTTCAATCCCTGGTACCACCACTACCACAACAATAACAAAAAACAAAACAACAACCCATTCTACACATAGCCTGGGAGAAAATATATTTATTATTATTGGTTTATTGTGATTATTAAACAACATATAAAATATTAGAATGGAAATAAAACACAGCCCTTCTTAGTGCATCTAACTTCCTTTTTGGCACACATACATGGGTAAGAATATTGTTAAATTCTGTTGAAGTTGCAGAGGCATTATCTGAAGTGGCAGGAAATCTTCATAAAAATTGGTATTTTTAAACAAATCAATAATATTGTAAAACCACATAACTTGATGACTGTGCCCTAAAAAAGACGTTCGTGAACAACAAAGAACTTCAGACTCTTAATTCAAAGAGATTTTTAACATATAAATACACATTTATCTGTGCTTGGATCAAATCAAATGAATTGAATGCTAATGCATGATTCCCTTTATCCTTTCAGAAAAAGAAGAAAAGCATTCAATATGCATTCTATGGTTATTATAATAAATGAAAAGCATGTATTTAGTTTTTATTGGACAAAGTGTTTCAGTTTCTCTTCTAAAGTTTATGGTTTCAGATCTGAGCAAGGCAAATACTCTTCCCCCAAACTCCAGACATACAAGTGAAATATAAATAAATCATTAAAAAAATAATGTAAATGCTGTGATAGTCAGGAACCAGGTGATTAAGAGCATACAGCATGCGATTGCAATGTGACTCTGTAAGGAATGTTCTCTTCTTAAGAATTTAACCAAAGAAGCTAAACAAAAGGAAAAACTTCCAGGGAGAGAAGCTAGTTACTTGGATGAGTTACATTTTGAAGCAGATAGGCGTAGCAGTAAAGCTGGAAGCACACAGGGAGATATGATTTAGAATGAAATATGGGTGGGAGTAAGGCACATTGTCTTCCTGTAGCTTGTTCTGCTTTAGAACAAGACTGAGATCCAAGCATTGTACTCGCAGTAATATTACTCTATGTACCTATGGCATAGGTGATAATATTATCTTACCCATTTGAGAGATGGGAAAAAAATGAGCCCAGAGAAACTAAATAAATAGTTGAAGCTCAGACACTTAGCAAATGATGTAAACTAATAGTCTAAATCCAGCATACTTGATTCTGGACTTACTCTTCTTTCCTGGCGTGATTCTTCAATAAAATATGTGACTAGGTGCTCAAAGATTGACAGGAATTTGAAGGTAACCAGCACAAGTAACAAAAAAATGCAATGGATCAAGGAAATAATTGAGCACAAGAGCATACAGTAATAATTGAGCATACAGTAAGCAGGATCTGTTTTTAAACAGCAAAGCATGAAAAATACAGAAATTGAACATATTTTATGGTGTTGAGAGTATAAAATGTAAGTAACCATTATATCAGCCCCTGCAGAATTTATATTATTGTGTAAGAGAGAGAAATGTCAGAAATTAGTTGTGATGATTCTTGAAGGAGTTATAAAGAATGTGATGCTAGTTAAGGAAACAGTAACAGTGAATATTTACTATGTATCTATTCTATGAGCTAGTTTCTATGTGAAATGATTTTTAGGAAGAATCTAATGTGCCCTCCTGAGCCACTTCACCTTATCACAGCTGATTAAAATCTAGAATATAAGTAACTCACAATAAATAAATAAATAAATATGCCCATATATTAAATCTACTGGGTCAATACCACTGTTCCTCCATAAATGAACTTTAATAAGTTCAGTAACCTACTTGCAATGTGTGTGTTAAGGATATATATATGTCTATATACATATATGCATCTATTTTTCTGTATACTTTAATCATACCTCATACAGTGTTTGCATTCATTTCATTTTGAATATAAATGCAATATCATAATATTAAAAATGAAAAAAATTAATGCAACAAACTAGTGGTCATTTACTACACTGACATAATAACCATTTTTATTTGTCTTCTTTCCGGATCATGCCTGCGCGATGGTCTTTTTATGTGTGGTTTATTTAAATCTTTTGTGCTGATGTGTATCTTGTGTAATATCCACAATACCTAAGTGGTTTGGAGCTACTTCTATTATAACTAAAACTCCCCCTCATGCTCCTAGATATTAAGCTTTTATCATTGAGAGAATCTTTGACTTATTTTCCTTGGGAACACTCTAGTAGTCCTGTTTCAGCAAGTAATAAACTCTTAATAGTAAGTATGGCTATATTAATTATAATAATGGTTTTGTCCTTTAATTTTCCTAATGAAGATAGAGTAATTAATACTGTATATGTCCAAAGTAAAAGAGGCTCCTTGCAGAGTTTAATTTATTGAGCAAAGACAAATAATTATCCTATTTTATAACAATTGTTCCTTATTACTAATGAAGAATCAATTTCTTAAATGTAGTTAGACTTTATTCCTTCTATGTTCTCTTCAGAACAAGACAGCCTGGATTTTCATGTTTCACTACACATTACAGTACCTATGTTTTCATTACCCTGATACTGTAAAAATATGATTGATGAAATTATTTCATATTTGATTTACACAGAAATATGAAAAGTATCATAATATCAATAAACAAATTAACAATAATTCCATTATCAATGTTATTTCCTAAAATTCAGGTATTTGAGTCATATACTTAAGAAATTTGTAGAAATTTAATTTTATCCTCTGTGGTGGTACTATTTTCATATATAGTTTGTTTACTTACTTTAATGTGTATTCTATGTGCAAGTATATTTTGATTTTTATAATATGAAACAATATCATTACTATAGTTCTACTTATGACCAAACATTTTTATATTCTTTTCTTTCATTCTGGAAACAGGTTTCTTTTACCTATGTTTTCTGAGCCTTGTTGCCTTCCAGATTAGATAACTTGTGTTAGTAGTAGGCATCAGCAGGATACAGGAAAGTACAACATAAAAGTTTCCTTTTCATACTCTGGTTCTTCTAAGAAGTCTGTATAATCAAAATCAGCTCCAGAGTCTTTCACCACTCCCAGCAAGAAACTGTGCTCTTCTTATCTGTAATGTAAGCATCTACATATCAGCATAAGCTGTGTGGTTTTCCTGCATCATTTCTTCTTCTGCACAACTAGATACTTAGTCACTAATTCTTGCTTTTTGTCCACTCATTCCTATGGATTCTAGCTGCTTTTTGCAAAAACTAACATCTGGGATTCATTATTGAATTTCTCATACCTGTGCAGGCCACAGGTATCTTTTGGTACTGTTTCTATTATGAAGAAAGAGAAAAATACATTTGTAAGGTTTCTGCCCAAGGAAATAACCATTAATATATTTTTCAAGTCTGAGTAGTTTAAAATTTTTTCTTTTAGTTTTATATAGTTGTGATCTACAAAGACAGAAAAAATGTCAGACTTGTTGGATTATATTTACCTGTCAGTGAATACAGTTTCTGTGCTGCTTTGATTTTAAGTCATGGCCTTGTACATGATAATGCTCTCAGTTGCCATGATAATTAGTGAAAACTGCAGTTTGTTTGCTATAGTCATAATGATTTAATCTACAAAGTTGTGTGAGATGGCACATACAAAATGACATACTCTTCTTATTGCAGAGGTAAAGAGAAAATTATGATACAGTTATGTAAATGGAAACCAACAAAGAATGATCCAGAAGGGCTTTGAATAAAATTAAAAGATAGCATGTTAAGGATACGATTACTGCTATGAAATTTTTCGTCAATTCTACATACCAGTGTGAATAAGAAAGGTTTGAGATAAAGCTGAGATTTAAATGTGATCTTTAGTGTTAGTTGACTTTTGTAAATTAAGTAATGTCTCTTTGAATTGTTTCTCCATTTATATACTAGAATCATCAAAATAATTTTGGAATAATAAGATTGTGTGAGGAATAAGCCATAATATATATTAAAAGTGCATATTATAATGTATATATATATATATATAATTTCAAAAAATCTATTAGAAATTATTTTCAAATAAGATTACCTCAAAGTATATTTCAAAGATAAGATGATTTTCAACCAAATAAGCCCAAGAGTACTGGAATTACATGTGCAAAGTTCTGCAGGAAAATTTATTCTTACACAGGAAGTTTCTTATTATGAGCTCAGGAAAACTATGCCTCAAAATGATGGCAAATTAAGTCATCACTATTTAAGTCAAAATCAAGGGATGTGGTAGCTTGTGGAGCTATCCCTCCAATAATGCTAAAGTCCTTCCACCAAACGGAAATTTTAGAACAAAGTAACAACCATGAGAAGGAATAAGAAGCATTAAAATAGTAAAATATGTTCATATCATAAAATATTCTGTGCAAATATCTCCCTCAGTCATTAATTGTTTTGTAAGTCTGTTTTGATCGATACTAAAACTTCTATCCAGAATTATTATGGCTACTCTTTTTATGACCTACCTTACCATGCTTTTACATTCTATCTACTTGTGTGTGCACCTGCCTGTTTGGATTTTCTCTTAACTGTTGTGTTTATTCCTTACATAGTCATAAAATGTACCATACTGATATTTAAAAGAAGCAGTAGAAAATGGAGGCTGTCAGCAAGAGGGTTGCTATACTTTATGTTCATACTCATCAGGAGATTATAATAAAGTTGAATATTATAATTCATAGTGATACTAAGATGCAAATAACTCAAGTGTATTTTAAAAATCAATAAAGATTTTGATTAGTGCACAAAAATATTTTAGCACAGGGGATGCTCAAAAGAGGAAAATGACTTTAGCCTAATAGAAATAATATAGTAAAATGTTATCTATAGTTCCAATGATATCAATATGAATGCATATTAATGGACTATGTCTTCCATCAAAAAACTAGAGACTACCAGATTGGCTAAGAGCATAAGAATTAACTTTGTAGTGTTTCCAAGAAAAAATATATTAAATCCACAGGCCCAACAATGCTTTGATTTCTGTACAACTAAGTTTAATAGAAGGTTCCTTTCATCCCTAAACCACACAAAAATTGTTTGAGACAAGAAGTTGTTGTTGTAAGTAAATATTTTGTTGAAAAGTATTTTTAAATACCAAATAAAATGGAAAATTTGAAGAAAGATTTGTAAATTCAGCAACACTGTATGTGTTCACTTTCTAGCATTATCCATGATAGCTACCTCTGATCTGATGGAACTACAGCTTTTACCACTGGGTAATATATTTGAAATTAAACCCAACATCCACAAGTGAAATCCAGCAACTTTTCTAGTCTTTAGAAGGTGGTAAAGAATAATGAGCTCTTGAATATTGGATTAATAACTTTTTTTGGATTTGTATAATTTATTATATCATATTAAACTTAAAAATTCCATAAAACCTGTCTATTCTGCAGAAATATCATTTTTTCTTCATTACCTGTCTCAGAATTTATCTTCCAGTTTTCAAAGATCTGATAATTGGATCACCTAAATGAGTTTTTCAAATATTCTCACTACCTTGTTTTGCCTGCAGATTGAAAGGCTGTGATAAAATCCTGGTAGATACCAAAAGAATGACTATAATATCTGAGTCAGGAAAAGAGTATAGAGTGGCTGAGAAGGAAGATATTCCAATACATTAGGTTCTTGTACGAGGAGAAATGACATGGATGTGTGAGAGTCTAAATATACTGGAACATCAAGGAAAGAAGTAATATACCAGTCTTCGATTCATCATATTATTAAGTGAACTGGCATAGGGTGACCTCCTTCACTGACAGTTTGAAGAGCTCACAGGTAGTGTTAAATCAAATTTTGCTGTAACTGCAGAATATTCTCCACATAACATGGAAGAAAGAAAAAAATAGTCTTGGACAGATAGATGCCTTAAAATGAATTGATTATTTTGAATTTATCACCTTATTCCCTGAAGAGAAACTTCAGGAGGTTCGAGAACACACTCTTTTCTCTGGCATCATTAAAACCTCTGTAGGGGCTGTCATTAGCAATCAAAGGGTGATCATGAGAAATGCTGTGCTTAGTACATGCTTTTTAATTTCAGTGGTTCTAATAATATCTACACTGAGGGAATCCATGTAGAAGTTGCAGGGCTGTGTTTACTTCATTGAGTAGTAGTGATGAATATAGTTGCAGAGGTCCACAGAGCAATTAATAAAACCATGATGTCAGAAAGACAAAACAACTGGCAAACTACTGAACAGAACTATAAACTGTATTAAAATATATATTTTTGCCCAGTTCTCATAGAGAGGCCACTTTAAAGATGAAACCCTCTAAAATGCAGGTCATCAACGGTGCCCTTGAGAAAGCCACATGAAATACAGCAACAATATGCGGTGCATTGAATGCAATGAAAAGCTTGCAAAATGAAAAATTATAAACTCAGCAATGTAAATCTGCCACCACCATCCCCAATCCTGGACACTTACTCAAAAAGAAGCTTAATTCCTGAGGATTTAAAAACTAATCTAGTCAAACAAATATAGTAGAAACCATATCATTAGATTAAAAAATGATGTTTGTTTAGACTGATTTTGGTTTCTATGGGTGGGGAGATCTAAAAGTACATGGCACATACATGACACCAGTTTCTGAATGGCTACTTGTGATGAGTCTAAGTAAAGTAGTCCCTCCACATTAGCTCTAAATAATTATTATCAAGGAACTGAGAAGAACTCTTGAATGTACTCCTCACTATTTAATCATTAAAGCAAGAATGGGACCACTTCTAATAGAATAAATTATAATCATCTTGATTCATCATGCCATGGAGTTATTGGCATAATGAAAATTTCAAAGGTAGAGGACATTATTCTTTTAAATAATAATTCAATCAGACTTGAAGGTAGTACAGTGGTATGCGGGTTTTAAAAAATCACAGAATGACTGTAGTAAGATTAATTAACTATAGTTCAGCTGTTATTGTGTATGTGGATTCATTTACGGACTAAAACAATACAGCTACTGGACCCCCTGCTATATGCTATTGTGCTGCATTCTCTTTTCTGCAGCAGTCATTTGGAAAAAGTGACTACTGATGTATGACTTCAGAATGTTGAAATCTTTGAATCTTCTGTTATCTACATGATCTTAAATCCAAATATCAGGATTGCTTTACAATCCCACAGACTATAAAATGGGTCTAATTTAATATAGCTGAAATAATTTACCATTGAGGATAAACTACTCAAGATAAATTTTGTAGAAATTCTGGGAACATCCAACTGAGTTTTGTTTCCAGTTGTCCACTTTTCTGAAATTTATGCAATACCCTCTCTGAGACAGGTTGATGTAATTTACCTATCCTACAAAAAGAAAAATACTATTTGGTGAGCCATCCTCTGTTTTTGAAACAAGGTACTTCATTTATCAAATGAGCCAACAACTTAAGATCATGGATTTGAATGCAAGACTAAAGAAAGGGTAAGTCCCAAACTGAGGATACTATGGTACTTAGGAAAGGTGTTTCTTTAAAACTATTAAGACTGCTGGATTCAGTATCTTGATGCCGCAAATACTTTTTATGTTTGGCTTTTATTTTCCCTCATGAAATCTTAACAAGCATTTCTACTATGATGACCTTTTGTTACAGCTTGACTTTAAACTTCATGTGTCTTATATCTTCTAAATTGGTTTGTTTCTTTTAAATACTTGTGAGAGCTCAGCTTCCAAAAATCATAGAGAAAAATCAGTATTTCTTTGTATGCTGTCTTCTGCTGGTAGCTCTGTTTAATCAAGTGACTAATGTACTTAAAATGTTAAATCCTGAAAGTAATTTGAGCAATGAATCTTAATTTGTAATGTCACTTAAACATGTACAACACCTGTAGGGATTACAAAGCTTCGAAAACATTGCTACTGATAAACTCTCTTTCATGTTTTAGCTCCTTAGCTCTGCCTGGTGTTTCTAAAGTGGTCACCTAAATTATGCCCAATTCACATTTATATTTAGATCATCATAATGGTGCAAAAAAGATGCATTTTGTAGAGTAATTAGATTTGTACTTCTGTGTTCAAAAATACTGACCAGCTTCTACACTATTATTTTGCTACTGAGAAAAGTCAGTCCAAGGAGGGCAGGAAATCTTGAGCAAGATAACCAAAGAGTTACAGGCAGAAATCATGATGAAAACATAGTGTTTGCATGACTGCACAGATATAAACATTTCCTGATATAGTTTGTATCTGTCTGGTTTTCTTTTGCTTTTAATTTTAAATTAAGGATAATAAGAATAATTACTATTTTTTTCAGTACTGGAATCAAACTCAGGACCTTGCACTTGCAAGGCAGGTGTGGCACCACTGAGCTAAATGGCCAGCCCTAATAAACATTATTTAATGGCTAGAGTTTCTTTAGATGATATTTAGGAAAATATTATTGGAATTAATCATGTTTTTTTTATTTTTTGTTACTTCATTGAAAAGTTAACTTACCAATAATAGTCTATGCTTCCCAGGGCAGCACTGATCAGACCCAGAACTCAGGTTCTTCTCTTAAGTCTGATTTCCTGTCTTTATTATTCAATTTGCATTGTGCTGTCATGACTCACAGGAGACCAGGACTCACCGCAGGGTTTCTGAGTATACAATTGAATGACCAGAGCTAGAATTCCAGGACCTAAATGAAAAGGCACAAGTACTTAAACAAATTTTAAGTAAGATCCCAGATGAGATCATTGACAGAGTGAGGTTTCTGCAGACAATCCAGGCTAAAGCTAGTGCAATAAATGAAATTCAGGATACGCTGAAGAATGTCTTCAAGAAATACCAGTACCAGAACCACAGGGTACTTGAACATCAAAAGAAATAATGGGTAAAGTACTTCAGTGATATTCTAAAAGTGTTTTAAAATTGGCAAGGCAATAAATGTGTTCATAAGTGCCAACCAACTAATTCATCAAAGCAACTTGATACTTCAGACCTTCAAAACTGTGGTCTCAAAGTTGTATATATTAAGAGTTGTACTTTTTAGTGGTAGTATTAAACTGCCTTTATGTATAAATTTTAAATTTTGACCATATAAATTATCAACTTCCTTCAGGGATCTAATTCAGGATGGTGAATGGGATTGCCATTTTATACCATATTTTTGTAAAATGTAGCTTAATAATAATCACACACTGAAGATTTTGTAATGTTTTGCTGTTGTCATTCTTTTAAGAATTATAAACCAAAAGAATGTATGCCTAATGTGTCTTCATATAACATTCCTTAAAAGAATCGTAAATGTTGGTGTTTATTTTTGACATTTTAACTAGAAAGTGACATGCAAGATAATGTATTCAACAATAATTGATGGCAAATATTCAATAAATAGTTTACATCTGTTAAAAAAGGTTAACTTACCCATTCAAATTCACAAATGGGTATTATTTTTAGTAGTTAATGTACTCAGTAAGATTTAAATTTTTTTTTCCTGTTCCATTAAGTTTATTAGTACATTTAAAGCAAACAGTACAGTTACATTTATGATTGGGATCTTGTACCTTTACTTGATATATCTTAGTTCTTCTGTTTTCACCATAACCCAGCCTTCCCTTCACCCTCTTATCCCTTCCCTATTTACAAAGACTTTGCATCCTTTTTATTAATTTGTTCATGTTGTTTCTTGTCCCTTATTTCCTTTCCTCTCCCCTCCCCTTTAGCCATTGTCTTCATATTTCATACTCCCAATTATACCATTTGAAACTAATTTACATTTTTCATTTTTCATACCAGAGAAACTGTTCAGTTTTTACTCAATTGTGTCTTATTTATTTTACTTGAGTATAGCCTCAATGTGCATTGATTTAGCTATAAATGTCTCAGTTTCTAGTTCTTTCTGCCTGAGTAGTACTCCATTTTATAGAAAAACCATATCTTCTTTATCCAGTCTCCTGTTCATAGGCATTTGGGTTGTTTCCAAGTATTGGCTATCCTGAACTGTGCCACTATAAAACATGGGTGCACATATATCATTGTAGTATGATTCTTTTAATTATTTTGGAAAGATACCCAGCAGAGGGATAGCTGGGTCAAATGGAACCTCTAATCCTAGTTGTTTGAGGTATCTCCATATTGATTTCCATAGTGGTTGCACCAGTCTGCACTCCCACCAACAACGGGGAAGGGTTGCTTTCTCCCCACAGTCCCATCAACATTTGTTATTGGTTGATTTCTTGATAGCAGCCATTCTTTCTGGGATAAGGTAGAATCTCAATGTTGTTTACATCTGCATCTCTCCAATGACCAGTGATGTTGATCATTTTTTCTTATATATACTTGCTGCTTTTACTTGTTTTTCTGAGACATTTCTGTTCATTTCAGATGCCCATTTTTAATTGGGTCTTTGTATTTGGGGGTCTGATTTTTTTTGAGTTCTTTATGTCTTCTAGGTAGTAGTCCTTTGTCTAAGGAGTAGCTGGTAAAGCTTTTTTCCTACATTTTAGGCTGTCTCTTGACTTTATTGGTGATTTCTCTTGCACTGCAAAAGCATTTTAATACAATGAGATCCTAGTTGTTAATTCTTTGTGCAAGTTCTCATGCTACTGAGGATTTGTTCATAAAGTCTTCTCCTATGCCAATGTTGAGAGTTCTACCTAATTTACTTTCCAATAAGTTTAGTGTTTCTGTTTTGATGTTAATCCACTTGGATTTTAGTTTAGAACATGGTGAGAGATAGGAATCTAGTTTTAATCATTAAGAAAAAGCAGTACTTATGAATGCAGTGTTTGTTTAAAAGAAGTAAAGCATTTATTTCTTTATTCCACAAACTGTGTCAGATTCTTGTCTAAGATTTCCAGGGATGAACACAAATAAATCCTCTTCCCAAGAACCTGCGTACTATCTTTGTAAGTAAACTGTTTGCAAGTAATGTGCATACTGTGATTCAGCTCTGACTAGGTGATTTGAGAGCAGACAGTAAGTGAGTGCCACCTGAAGCTTGAAGAATAGGCTTTTTTATACAAATTTAATCAAATAATAATTAAAATAAAATTCTCCCAGGCGGAGGTACCAGTGTATCTTTGTATCCTGGTGATGAGAAAACTCTTGTTGATTCAGGCAAGAATTTTTAAAGCTGATTGCACAAGTGAGGTGTAAATGAGAGAGAAGGAATAGGTGGAGAGAAAGGGAGGTGCCATCTGTCCTTTGATCTTAAAACCAAATTGCATTACCAGATCTTTATGAGAATCGGTCACAGTAATATGACTCTATAGACCTCTGAAAGTGATCACGTTATCACACTCTTTCATAGATGAAGAAAATGAGCACTGGGAAATTAATCCAAATTTATACAACTAAAATGATATCTAAGACTTGATTCTGGCTTTCGATTCTTCATTTATAATAACATATAATAACACAGCAAAGCAATGCTTCCTTCGTGGTATAAATGTAGCTAGTGACATAATTCTTTACTAACATATGTGACTGTACACTCAAAAATTAGTCAGAAGCCAGCCAGACTAACCATGTGAAGGCCAAATGAATCAAGGCAATTGACCACAGCAAATCGTAAGAAATCATTTACAAATAAGAAAGTTTGCTAAAAATGTGTCTTTCAGTGTTCTGAAAATTTGTTCCTAAATCATGAAAAAAAGTAAAAAGGAGTAGAGCTAAAAAATGAGAGGAAGAAAAGTTCAAAAACTAGAAATATGATTAGTGAATAATAAAAAGTAATATTAAAAATTAAATAAAAAATCAAATTTCTCCCAAACTGTAGTTCAAGGAGAATAAATATTAGAAAAATAAAGTTGCCATTTAAAATTACCCTGTAGCTCCATATTATACACAGAATTAAATCAAAGCTTACTACCATTGGGCATAAAGCACTAATTATATGGCATTTTCCCTATAAATTAATTTACAGCAATTATATCAATTGAAAATGTTTCATGTGACTTATTTGCCTTATCAGTATTTTGAAGTTAGGACTTTTGTACCTGTTGCTCTCTCTGCTGGTAATCTTTTTCCTCTGTACTCAGAGTGATTGGTCTTCATTCTTCCTATCTACTAGCACACATTTTCTCTTCCAAAACAGCTTCTTCCTGTCACAAAAGCACCAGACCTGCCCACCCTCTTCCGAAGTTAGTCTCTTTTCCTCTGTTTTATCGCCCTTAAGACACTCTCATAATCTGAAATAATTCACTCACTTGTTTCTAATTTATTATTTTATCCCACACTTAAAAGTCCATTTGCATGGGCCAACTTTGTTTCCCTATTAGGAGTTGACAGAGAGTTGAAGTATTGATTGAGTGAGGAATAAAGTGAAATACAACCTTCCCTTAGCTTAACTTCTGAAAGGAGAACTTTAAAAATGACATGACTAAAATAATAAATTAGAATAATAGGAACACATATTATGCTAGACAGGGCCACACCTTTTATGTTTGCTCTCACCAGAGCTGCTCTGGCAGTCAACCAATCTGCATGACACAGCAGAGTCTCTTTCTATTTCTGCCCCTTGTTGTTCGCTCTTAAACCAACCTAGGTGCCAGATATCCTGACTGCGAAGATTTTTCTGGAGAAATTACTTCTATGCATTTTTTATACTCTTAATTCCAATTTATTTCATAAAACTCTATACCTAATGCTCTGCTACCTAGGCAATTTCTGCTTTATTTATGAAATGAATACCAAACAACAAACACCCAAGATAAAAATTTTAATGGCTTACCACATTCACAAAATTAATGCTGCCCAATGAAAACAATTTTTCTGTACCACGTACTCAAATGACATTTTGTTTATTTTTCTTGATATTTGCAAATGTAATTGCAATATATAAAACTGCAAGTTAATGAACAAGTCATGTGTTTAAAAAGCAAATATACAAAAGACATAACCCTTATTCTGAAAACGTGAATAAACCAATAATTCAGAAGAACGGATTCTTGGAAAACTTCAGATCACTTCAATGCATACGCACATCTGAATTCACAATTTCCAGGCCTACCAAATGAACAAAAGCTTTCAGTTTTGTTTTGGTCTACATTAGTCTCCACGTCTCCTCAAAATTATCTGGAAGCAGTGTAATCATCTAATATTAGCTAAAAGAACTCCCACAGTCAGGAAGGGCATTGGCTTTCTTCTCAGAGTACGATATACTCTTTCTTCTCAGGGTAGTTTCCTTGTCTTCAGAAACAGAATTGATAAATCCCTGGGATTTGTCTGAATAATGAACTTAATAACCGGTATATTCCATACCCACCCAAAAACTTTATTTATAGAGCTTCTTTTTAGGATTGTCAGAGTAAGGTCAAAGTTTCATTGCTTTTCCAACAATAATCACAGTGAACCTTGAGGTTCAAAGTATAATAGGAACTTGAACAAGTTCTGCCAATGATCATTCTCATTGTTGCTGTAAACAAGCGTGTACGGAACCACAGACTGGGAACAAATTCTCTGATTTTAACCAAATTATCCACACAAAGCACACAAGATTCAGAATCTTTGTTGTAAGAGTGCATGTTAGAAAACAGAAAAACAAATAATTATATTTTTATAGAGTTGAGAATATAGAACACAAAATCATCATTATATTTTCCTCTACAAAGTTTGCATTGTCATTCAGGAGACTAAAATGCTAGCAGTTAGTTTAGTTCTTGATAGCAGGGTTACAAAAAGTGTTGTGCAGTAAAGGATATAATACTGAAAATTTACTGTCTCTTCTATGATCCAATCCCTATAGTAAGTGTTTCTTACATAAAATGTAGATGAATCCACCCAACATACTACTTTTCTTTCATAAATGAGTTTTAAAATGTTAAGTAACTAGACCAAGGTCATATGCATTTAGTTGTTCAATCAAGAAATATTTAGGTGGCTACAGCAGCACACTTCCTAATATCTAAATCTTGGAAGCAGCCTTCCACATATCTATCAACATATGACTGGATAAAAAAATGTGGTATCTGTACAGAATGGAATGCTACTTGATAATAAAGGGCAATAAATTTGAAACACTTACAGGGAATGGGTGCACCTGAAAACATACGTTAGGTAAAAAATTCAGAAAGACAAGATTAAATACTATGGCTTCTCTCATTTGAGTAATTAAAAGTACAAAACAAAAGCAAAATAAAGGAATGATTAAAGAAGGAGATAAACTATATTAGTAGGAAAGAGACCAAGAGACAAAGGTTGGGGAGGGGGAAGAAGAAGGGAGCATATTATAATTATGATTATTAACCAGCATTAATGACATTGCTGAGGGCTTCTCTTATTTAAGGAAAGATATTTCGGCCCATTACTTGTTTTGTTTAGCCATATTTACCTGCAAAGCTAGATGTGCAGGGTGGGTTTTTGACAACCAAGTAGACAGGTAGAGACCAAAGAGACTGATGGTATGCTCTTCTTGATCATAGACCATATTTTAGTGAGAAGTAGAAGAAGTTACAAGAGCAGTGTCTAAAAGTCAAATGTTAGATTAATGTATGAATTACAAATATCTCAGATATTACTAAAAATTTAGGACCTTGACTGAAAAAGTTTGAGTGTTTGTTACTGACATGGAAGAGGCAGGTTTTGGTCGTGGCTTATGATAGACCATAGCCATGAGTGCATTTTTATTCAAGTACAACATAACAAAGTTATTAGAGGAAGGATGCCCAGGAACTGGGAGTCCAAGTTGGTATATGGGCTGTCTTGATTGGTACTGAGATTAGCAAGAGAGTAGTGTGATACTGACAGAAAATATGATAAGATCTTTTGAAACCCAAAGTAGACTAATGAAGAATTTGAGTAGCATTTTTATGCAAGATTGTAAGCTATTTTGAAAATAGCCCATGATAAAATATGTTACCTCCTCTCCTCTTACTCCTCCTTCTCCTCTTCCAAGACCAATTTGATATCCTCTACCTTTTTGGACAACTCTGTAATATATAAACAATCATTTACTTAGAGTACAAAAACAGGGCACAGTCTGGGTTCAGCCTGCAGGCTGTAATTTGCTATATACAAACAAAACAGTGGGGAGAGGGAATGGTCTTAAAGCAGCAAAGAGCAAGGCAAACCTCACCCTCACCTCCAGGTCTGGAAGTGGCTTCAGGAGAATACTAGTTTTAAGTTATTTGAACTTAAAGAGAAGGAGCGTTAAAACGTTAAGGAATCCCTTCACAAACTCGGCTGATATCATAATGCTGAAATGAACCTAGCTGTAGCAGTCTTTTTTCGTAAAAATGTTTCAATTTAATTTGTTTTTAGAAAACATCTGAAAGTGAAATTCCTGAATGATTTGAATGTTGGAGATTTTCTTTCTGAAGAAATTACCGTTTGAAAGTTTCATCATCATTGCCATTCAACTTTATTAGACATGAAGTTAACCCAAAATATTATCACATTTACCAAGACATAGTTCAAATTTTTGTAATGTTACTTTCACGAATTTCAAAAGAGTTTTTATTGCTTTTTTAAAATTTTGTTTATTGGTACCATTTAGATAGACATAATGATCATATTTATCATAGGCAATTGTACCTTTACATGACTGAGTTTTGTTTTTTTTTTCATTTCCATCCTTTCCTTTCAACCCCTCTTCTCCTTATTTACAAAATTTCATTTACATTTTATCCTCTTTTTTATTTTTCTTCCTCCTACCCATCCCAAGTTACCATTTCCTTTTGAACAATTTCTTTCTATTTTACGATATCTATTTTCATTTTGGTCCTTATTTACCCTTGCAGTTTCTCACACCACAGAGATAGCGTGATATTTATACTTGTGTATCAAATTTATTTCACTTAAGAATATGGGTTTAAGGTGCATCTATCTACGTAGACATATTTCAAGCTTATCCTTCTTTATGGCTGAGTAGTTCTCCATTGTATAAAACAAAACGTCTTTTTTTATCCATTCATAGATTGATGGGCATTTGGGTAGTTTCCGTGATTTAGCTATTGCATACTGTTCCTATAATCATGGTTGTACATATATTGCTATGGTATGATGCTTTTCATTCTTTCAAGAAGATGCCCAGAAGGGGAATTTCTGGGTCAAATGGGACCTCTAATCCTAGTTTTTCTTAGGAATCTCCACACTGATTTCCACAGTGGGTGTACCAGTATACATTTCCATTTTCACCAGCAGTGGAAAATGTTCCTTTTCCCCACAGCCCCACCAGGATTTGTTGTTGGCTGATTTCTTGATAATAATTATTCTTTCTGGAGTGATATGAAACCTCAAAGTGGTTTTAATTTGCATATCGAATGACCAGTGATGTTGAACATCTTTTCATATATTTATTTGTTGTTTGTACTTCATCTGAGAAGTGTGTATTCATTTCAGATGCCTATTTTTAAATTGGGTCTTTAAATTTGAGAAGACTGATTTTTTTCCAATTCTTCATATATTCTTTTATATGTTCTTATTAGTCCTTTGTTTGAGGAGCACCTTTCTAAAATTATTTCCACTCCGGGTTGTCTTTTCACTCTGTTGGTAACTTCTTTTGCTATGCCAAAGGTTTTAGATAAGGTAAGATCCCAGTGGTTGATTTTTTGTATTATTTCCCAGAAGATTAGGGTTTTCTTCATGAAGTTTTTGCCTAAACTTCAATAAATTGAATTTCTGTCCTGTTTGTCTGCTTTATGCTTTCATAGAGTGTGAGTGTGTGTGTGCTGAGCCAGTGTCAGCCTACTACTACCGCAGTATATACTCAGCCCTTTTCATTTATTTTGAGACAGAACTAAGTTCCTTTGTCTGTCCTTCAACTTGCTATCCTCCTACTTCAGCTTTCCAGTAACTGAGATTCCAGGCATGTGCTCTCTGGATTTGGCAATTGTGAAAAATATTTACGTACAATGATAACTTAAAGAATGAGAATTAAGTGCCAACCTCTCTGGTCAAGATTTTTTGCTTCTAGGTGTTGATTTTAGTACCACATTTTACCACTTTTGAGGAACAATTAATTAAAACAATAGCAAGTGTCAGCCATAGATTAATTTGAGGATTTATGTACAGTAATAAAAGCATTTTATGTTTGTACATAATACAAAAAAAAATCACTCTGAGACCACATATACAAATTTTATGTCTACTCATGGTATTTACTATTAGCTCTCATTGTATACACATGTTTATGAGGACATATTTATCCTGCAATTGTTATTTTACAAGTTATTTCTACAGCTACATGTAGCATCACCTGCTAATTGCTTAGTATTGCTTTGTTTCTTAATATATGGTAATGTAATTTTCCCATTTACAAAATTTCTATTTTGAGAGAACTGTCTTGTGATATGATTATAGAAATTTCATAAAAAGTTTACTTTTTATAAAAATTTCTGGATTGTTACTATTTTCCTGAGAAGATAGAATGAATTCAAATATACCTTTTTTGTTATTCCATCCTTGGCTAAATTATATATGCGATTGTACTAGAAGTATTATAATCACGACTACAAACAGAATATAGTAAGAATGGTGAAATACAAAGAGAGAAGAGCATGAGGATTAGGTAGTAGATAACCACATGGATGGAACTCCTTGAGGAAACCTGTTGATAGGTGACTATGAAACAGCATAAATCATGGTCGATACAAATATTTTGGCTGGCTTTAAACACAATCCACTTCATGGTGTCTTCCACTCTGAATTGTAAAGATAGACTTTTTGACAGATTAAATTTTTCTGACTTTTTATTGCAGGTCAGTTACTTCGACTTCTGTATTCTGTGGCTTTTAGTATTTTCTATCCTGAAGACATCTTCAGTCTTGAATGAGCTTCACTTTCTTTACTTTCCCCAAATACAAAGTAGCTAATTCCTCTAGTGATCGTAAGTATTGGACAGTATAACTCTTATTACTTGGACTCTTAAAATGCTTCAAAGGAAAAATATTTACAGATGTAATAAACTAGTACCGTATTGTGTAAACTACTTTTGGAAGGACTTCAGACTCAACCAGTTACTAGGAGTCTTTCAAACCCTGTGCTTTGACTAAAATGTTTATATTACACACAGAGAATCTTTTCTTATGTTTCTCTTCTGGTGATTGTAAATGGTTACCAACTCACAAAAAAGATACTGTACAAGAAAAAAAGGTATTAAAAAGTAAAACTTACCATATACAAGGAGAGTTGGCAGAAATGGCACATTTACAATGAGAAATGTTGAGGGGCTGGGGATTTAGCTCAGTGGCGCCTTGCCTGCCTTGCAAGTGCAATGTCCTGAGTTTGATCTCCGGTATTGGAAAAAGAAAAAAAAAAAAAAAGTAAGATAAGAGAAACAATGACAAATGTTGGATGAAATACTTCTGAGTAAGAAAAAATACAGAAGTGATATTTACAGCAAGAATTATTATATTACTTGTAGAACTTCTCAACAGATCTTTCAAAAACACCAGTTTATTCCATTTTTACTTTATGATGCTTTGATATTTAGTATATTTTGAAATGTCAGGAATACATACTTTGCTATAGATTTTCCTTTAGCCAGCTAATATACTGATTTATCACTCTATGAGAAATTTTAAGTTGGGGAAAGGAAATTGCTCCATGGAATCCATCCTCAACATGGTAATGGGCCACTTGAACTCCAGCATTCCGAAGCCTGGTGACATACATGAGTCCATCGTCTCTTAAGACATCATATTGGCAAGTGAGGACAAAGGTCTGCGGTAAACCACGCAACTTGCTGTCATCTGCCAATAAAGGAGCTGCCCTCACATCTAGGATCCCAGGATATTTTTGAGTTAACTCAGAACTACCATAAGTTGGGTTATTATAAACATGTCCTTTTCTAAACCTCTCAGGGAGGAAGGAGCTCCAGTTAACAAACTGAAACAGATGACTGGATTCTGCAGATACATGCTCGTTGGAAAGCATGGCTTTCTCAAGTGATCTGTCTCTAGTGAAGTATTCACTCCAGAACCTGACCATGAGTGACTTGGGCAGAATCGGCATATCTGAATTTTCTTGATATGATGGTGAATCTAAATCAAGAGGTTGAAGTGCAGGATAAATTAACGCCTGGATCTTGGGCTTGATATTGGCATCGGAATCACTGAAGAGCTAAAGAGAAATTAAGATGATTTGCACAAATTATTTCCTTTACAAATTGCAACAAGAGAGACTATATACGAATTCAGCATCTCAGAAGACACTTAAGAAATAAACAAAATATTACACCCATCTCGATAAAGTTTGCAGGGTTCAAAAGAAATTCTACAACTAGATATCCCCCAACTAAGCGTATGTTTGACTTAAGAAAAATCATCTGCCCTATATTCTTTAGGAATAATGCAATGGGATCTACCTAATAATTAGTAGGCTTACATCATAACTTTTCAACCACAAATGATATACAGAAGTATTGTGTAAATTTAACCTCATTACTTTTCTCTTCGAATAAAAAGTATATTAAAATAGCCGAGTATAAGTTTTGCCATGAAGAAAAAGGATCCCTGAAGTATTTCTGACTTTGCGTTGATTCCAAAGTGAAATAGTATTGTAAGAGATTTGGAAAGGCTTTCTTTGTGAGATGTTCCATGAAAATTACTCTTCCATATCAGGCCCAATATGTGAATATTTGTAAAGACCAGTCATCAAAAAATCAGAAAGCACAAATATTACAGTTGAACAAAAGTGATCCACAAGAAGATTTCATTATACTATTTCAATTCCTTTTGAGAATATATTCTTTAAAATGTGGCTTTATGTTTTCTAAATGCATATTTTACTATAAAATACATATCATATAATTTCTATATAAAATTATAGGTACTGAATGTATCCTAAAATTTTGAAATTTTTGGAGTCTGTCTATATGTTAATTATAACGGTCAAAATAGATTATTTTGAATATTTTGGAAAACATTTATAAAGATCATATCATGTTACCAGATTTTTAATGTAAATTTATGCAAGTGATCCTCAGAACAACTCTGTGTTTGAGAGGTTTATTTTTCTTAAGGAAATGAATGCTTCAAGAGACCAAATGAACTGGTCAAGGTGACATTTGAAAATGCCTTTATCTTAAGACAATTCAAGTTTATGGATTTCTAATATTCTTTATCAATATTTTAGGACTTTTAAATGTGCTGGTTATTTTTTCAAACTAGTCAGAATATTTTGGTAATAGAAGACTAATCCATTTGAAGATTAATGAATGCATCTGAATCTGCAAAATGGTTAAAAGTCATTTTCGGTTTTTGTTCCGTCTCATTCCTATGGCTACTGTAATATTTTACTGACATATATCAAAGTTTAACTCAGCGATCTACTCAGATTATTGTTATTTCACTACGAAAGTTAAAAGAACATTGAAAAAAGCAAACAGCGAAAATTTGATGTATTAGGCATTTTTAGCAATATTTTTTTAATTTAAAGCATTGCCACTTTTATATTTGCACACATGAATTTAAGTAATTATAAGTAAACAATTTTTCAAAAATAGAAATGATGACAATCTTACCTTCTGAGTCACTGCTGCAGCTAAATTCCCTCCTGCACTGTCTCCAGAGACACAGATTCTCTCAGGGTTTATGCCATAATTTTCAAGAATGTTTCTGCGTAAAAACCACCTTAAAGCATTATATACATCTTCAAATTGGATTGGGAAATGATATTTAGGTGCTAATCTGTAGCTGTGGAGAGAAGACATGGTTTTCTTGTCATTAAAAAAATAAAGGACAATATATGTGCCAGAAATGCTCATGTAATAAGCATACAACTTCTTGTGCTCACTTCAGCAGCACATATTACACTTTAATAAGTGTACAACTTCTTGAAATAGAACTAAATATAGCCATATAGCCACAAATCATAAAAATGAATCTTGCCTGCACACAGAAGTTTTCTAGTTTTTCTCAACTCTTGAAGTATCCATTAACCTAACTTACCAGCATCAAAAGATCTTGTATATTTTTGCCCTTAAAATAAATTAACTTGGTATGTACACCTATGCCATTGAATTTGATTATTCAACACTGTAGTTTTGAGCTTCACACACATTTCTGTGTGCTTTTGTCTTTCTGTATAATACTCCACTGTGTGAATACGCCACCTATTATTCAAAAAGTGAGTAATTTCATTTATATTAGTTATCTAAAATGGTTAGTCATAGAACCAGAAAGTAAAATATTGATTTCTAGGAATTATTGAAGGGACAATGGGGAATTACTCAGTGGATTCAATCAAGTAAGTGAATATGCTGTAGAGATTTGTTTTACAGTAATATAATAAGGTCAACAGTAACGTGTGTTGGAAAAAATGGCTTAGAAAGTAGATTTTATATGTTCTTAACACAGTAAATAAATAATAAGTAAATGAATAATACATTCCAATTTAAAAAGGGCATATAAGTTGTTCAGTCTTGACCTTCCAGAAGCATTATTGTTAAAGATATTCATGTAATTGGTATTTAGTAAATATATAT